GGGTTTAGGGTCTGTTCAAAGTTTACAGTAGAAGCCCCAAAAGTTGGAAACCTTAGGGTTTAGGGTTTAGGGTTTAGGGTTTGTTCAAAGCTTACAGTAGAAGCCCCAAAAGTTGGAAACCTTGGGGTTTAGGGTTTAGGGTTTAGGGTCTGTTCAAAGTTTACAGTAGAAGCCCCAAAAGTTGGAAACCTTAGGGTTTAGGGTTTAGGGTTTAGGGTTTGTTCAAAGCTTACAGTAGAAGCCCCAAAAGTTGGAAACCGTAGGGTTTAGGGTTTAGGGTTTAGGGTCTGTTCAAAGTTTACAGTAGAAGCCCCAAAAGTTGGAAACCTTAGGGTTTAGGGTTTAAGGTCTGTTCAAAGTTTACAGTAGAAGCCCCAAAAGTTGGAAACCCAATAGTTTCAATCCTGAAGAGTAATGTGTATAGGGAATCCCAGCACTAATTGGCCTTAATCCGGCTTCCAAACCCTTTTTGGGGTTTACTATAGGGTTTAGGATGTCGGGGTTCAGAGATCTTGGAAATTGAGGTGTAGAGCTTGTCGGTTTTTTGTTGTTCAACGCCTTTTTGCATCTTTTGGGGTCCAGGGTTTCTCCCCTAAACCCTAAACCTTAAACCCTAAACCCTAAACCGGGGTTTTGAGGGGGAATTTAGAGATATCCGGATTTAGGGCTGAGTGTCTCGCGAATCGGGGCTTTAGATTCAAGGTTCTAACAAGGGTTTACGGGTTTAGGATGGTTTAGGTATTAGGGGTTTGGGGGTTTAGGGTTTAGGGCTTTCTTAAAGGTTTTTACGTAGAAGCTTTAGTAATGTGAGGGACTGCAAGCGCATGAGACCACTCCGTATTCAGAACTCTATAAAGCAGGCTCATAAAGACTCATACAGCTACAGGCCTAGAGGTTTTGAAATTTAGCGTTTTTTGTTCAGGCCTTTGAAGTCCAAAGTATAAATTCGAGATTTTGGGTTGACCCTTAAAGCTCCCTAAAACCTCAACCAATAAAACGTCCCAAACATGGACTTAGGGGCTGAGTACCCTAGCCCAAAAAAGGTTAACCTTTTGATTTATAGAGGGTTCATAAGAGCCCTAAAAGGTTAAAGGTTACCTACTCACTCACTGAGTGGAAATGAAGGATTAGAG